ATTATATTTAATGCAATTTATTTTATATAATTGCAATTATATTAATTGATTTACCACAATATATATATCAGGTTTTTACGAAAGCTTCCCGCCACCGCAAATATCATCTGTGGAAACAATTCGCATTTGTATGTTTAATCATAGTTTGTCAAACGATTTTTGGCATTTGAAAGAAAGAGACTAACTTTAAAAGACTGTGTTGTTAAATTTGTAAAAAATATCTTTATCATTAAGTGGTGATACATGGTGTCTGAAATGGAACTATCATGCTACCAAATTAGAACCATCATTTACTTCCAGTTCTGTTGCAAAAAGTCAGTTACAGAATGCCAGCAAATCATGTGTATAGCTTTATGTACTAATGTTGTATCATATTACACTGTTAAGGTTTGGTACCGAAAGTTCGAAAACGAGGACTATGACATTCATGAAGCAGAGCACTCTGGCCGGCCTACGAGAACTTGTGGAAGATCAGTATGCAACTACTGGAGGGCTTGCTAAGGAGCTAGAGAGTCAGACGTTAGTGCCATGTCCATTAGTCACGCTATGCATCGCATAAACTTGACTTACAAGTTCAATTGTTGGGTACCGCGTGAGCTGACTCAAGCAAGTAAGGATAGACGTGCTCCAGCTTGCATTAATCTGCTCGAATATTAGTGCAAGGAAAAAAATTCTTGACGAATTGTCATTTGTGATGACAAATGGATTTACTTCAACTACACAGGCCGAAAATGGTGTGTGTCTGCGCCCTGTCAGCCCGTCGGCAGTCTCGTAATGCGCAATTTGACTAACAAAAAAGATCATACTTAGTATCAGGTGGGATCGCCATTGGTATCTAGAAAAAGGTAAAAAATTTACTAAAAAAAAATGTAATATTTATTTGTTTACTTTATTAAACATTTCTTTCAACGCGCGCAAGCGTAAAGCATACATTACACATAGTCGAAATTAGAAAATTGAGACCAGAAAACTATTTGATGTGTATTTGTGATATTTATAATGACGAGGAATTTGATTTAAATCATATCAAAGACGGAGTACATCGAGATGAAATGCTACATTTCGTAAGGAATAATAAGCCGAATAAAATAAAAACATCTGCCCTAAAAAGATAAGGATAGTGCTGACAGATCAACTTCCAGTTCATTGCGCGCCGCGACATTTCTCCTTCCTCCCCCCGCAGAGCAGTGGGAAATTGATAAACAGATTTCAGAATGGTTTGAGAAACAAAGGATATGCCTTTATCCATTTTTTGCAGCAATTCCACTTTTTGTTTGATGGACATCAAAACATGCTTTCGCTTTCTAGATCCTTTGACAGCTCCAGAATCGGAAATTCTTTTTGACATAATCGAAAGTTCAAACTTACTTTTACAAAATTGCTCTAACAGTCTGCAAAAAATAATAAGCCATATCCATTTAGAAGATTAAGGAACAACGCAATCAGCAACATTAACTGAAATAGATAATTAGATAATTTTAGCTTAGCTTATACCATCCGCTATGCATTAAATGCGCATGCGTAAACATATTATGCGCACACGTAAACGCATATGCACTTGCGTAACGGTATTATGTGCGTGTGTAAATGCATAATGCATTTAAAGTTTGTAGCTTTGAGGTCCGGATTATAGATCATTCTGGATTATGGACATCCGGATTAAAGACTTTTGACTGTATTACATCAAGATAATGCAAGACCACATTTACCGGCTGGATCCTGCACTGACTGGAATGGGATCTTTAGCCACACCCACCACATATCCCCAACATTGCTCCTTCGGACTTTCACCTTTTTTCACACTTACAGCTACATCTTGCTGGTGCTATCTTCCATTCTGTACAAGACGTCCGAAATGAGGGTGGTTTGTTTTTAGACTCATGGCCAAAGGCTTTGAAAAACTACCAAAACATTGGCAGAAAAACAAAGGGGAAAAAAAAGAGTTTCTGTGCCAAAAGACTGAAAAACTACCAAAACTTTGGCAGAAAATCATAGATTTGGGTGGTGATTACTATCCACACTAAAGGTACTGATTTCATATTTCCCTACCCCCTAACTTTATTAAGAACGTTTTTTGGGGGAAATCTTTCTTTACAATGAGATATTTACTAAGTATATAAATGAACAAAATTGTACCTAAGATCTGTCTGATTGCTTTTTTTAATGCTTATAATGAAAGTTTCAGGAGATGCTCTTGCTGGATATATATCAGAAGTAAATACATGAATAAATCTGATTCTTTATTGTGAGACTGCTAAACACTGGTAGCTTAACTAGCGAATGGGTTAGCTGCATCGAAATTTTCACAGTTATTACTCATATGGAACAGGAATAATGCTTAATAAAGGGTTTGGATTTCTTCCATATGCAGGGACAGCGCTATAGCGCAGTGCAGCTGTGGTGATATTTAGGGGCAATAAAATTTCTAGAATTTAGGTAGGTATTGGACAGCATAATTTACGAGTCTTGAATATCGTGGCAAAAAATGGTTAAGTGCCAGGCATGCCCTTGTGTAACATATATACAAGCTAGTATAAATTAGAAAGTCCTACTTTTTAGGAGTTGATCCTGATGTGTTTTGCCATTTTTTTCAATTGAATAAACTTATCATTGTTACACCACCATGCCATATGCATTAGACTGCCTTCCTAACCTAACAAAAACCCAAGTTTTAAATTTGAATTATTTATTATGAAATATTTATATTTATTGATTTTTTCCCTGTTAATGATATACTGTATGTTTTTTCCTGTTAGTGATATGCTGTATGTGGTGTAAAACCAATTAATTTTAGAATAAAATATAAATTTTGTTTTATAAAATGTATGCCGGATCTGCCAAAAGTAATAATTTTTTTAATAAGCTTGTAATCTCTATGAAATCTTCACAGGATCTGAATTGTGCAGATATCTTGTAAAAAACTGCAAATATGTGTTAATGAAACACAATAACAATATTTCAGTTCAGATGCTGTCTATATCATGTAAAATATTTATTTAACTTACCTTTCACAGTCAACCAAGCCTTAATGACACATGGTGACATTATCAATGAATTCACAAAAGTTACTAAGACAACATGTCTGTTGCAATGACAGCATTGCATCATTATGCATTTTATATTACCTTACCTCAAACAAACATATTACCTCTGCCAGACTCATGAAAAATTCTGTGGAAAAAATTCAGATTTTACTGTTTCAGAAATAAAAATGTTGCATTTGTATAAGATCATTAGCAATTCATTTGGTGAACTGAGCAGATTCTTATGCCACTTTGGTCTTAGAGAGAGAGTAAAAATAAATACAGTCAAAAGTCGTTAAGCCGGACTCGTCGGGACTTCGGCGATTCCGGATTATCGATTTTTCCGGATTATAGATCATCAGTTTAAATCTCGTAAGATGGCATGCAGAAATTATAAAATTAAAAATATGAAACCGTAATTTATGAAATAAAGAACAATTATGATCTAAAGGCTATCAAAATTTACAAAAAACTTTAATATTTATTTGTGTACTTTATTAAACATTTCTTTCAATGTAAGTTGTTTAAGTTGCTTCGTTTTCTGTGATAATACTTTCTCTTTAATTCTATAAACAGACATAATTTCTTGTTCAGTTACAAAGTTCCGCTGTTCAAGTCCCGTAATTGCTGTGCCGAGAATATCGACTTATTTGTCAATCGAAATGTTTTCGTTTTCAATAACCTCTGGGTCACTTTCTTCACTATCGGAAGCGAATTATAATGACGAGGAACTTGATTTAAATCATATCAAAGACGGAGTACATCGAGATGAAATACTACACTTAGTAAGGAATTATAAGCCAAATAAAATAAAAACATCTGCCCTGAAGATAAGGTTAGTGCTGACAAATCAACTTTCAATCCGCGGCGTGAAATTCATAAACAGATTTCGGATTTCAAAACATACTTTCGCTTTGTAGATACAAATTACATATTAGTAAATATATATCAAAAATTCTATTTGACATAATCGAAAGTTCAAGCTTACTTTTATGAAATTGCTCTAACAGTCTGCAAAAAATAATAAGACGGATCCAATTCGAAGATTAACGAACAACGCAATCTGCAACATTAACTGAATTAGATAATTTTAGCTCAGCTTATACCTCCGTTACACATTAAACGCGCATGCGCACAAACATATTAGCAGCCGTAAAGGTCATACGCGCACTCGTAAACGCCTGTGCGCATGCGTGAACGCGACGCATGCGCAGAAAGTTTGTAGCTTTGAGGTCCGGATTATGGGTGTCCGAATTTATGACTTTTGACTGTAAATAAAACCCCGCATTAATTTTTTTCTGCAAACCCCCCCCCCCCGAAAAAAAACTTTGAAAAAAATTTGTTTTTTGAGAGATAACAAAAAGTCAAGTATTTTTTCTTTTTGATGAAAAATATGACCTGAACTATTAAAAAGAAAGCAATTTCAGAGTAGTTTTTTGAGTTATTAATTGCTTGTAAAGCATTATGCTGTAGCCGAATGTACCTGTTTAAATAGTCAAGCATTCTGTGATGCTTTAAGCCTTTCATAGCAACTGGATCAGATGACAAATTTTGATTTTCGGTGTTTAGATGAACAGACACAGAATTTTTAAATTTAATAACCGTGTGGATGCAACCAACAATGAGGTATATATAGATATTTCTCCTGTCTTGGTTAAGCTTGATCTCTAGTATCTCCCACTACCAAATCTCTGGTGGCTCAATTTAATTGCCCCTATCATCACTTCTAAACATCCTTTCTGATATGTTCACTGTCTAATTTTTTTTTATTTTAAATTACTCTATACATATTTTATTTTTCGTTTACTAACATGTTTTGTTTTTGTAAATTTTACATTATTCTTGGATTTTAGTATTGGATTTTAGATTCTTGGATTAGTCTCATTTTTTGAACGCTTTGTTTTAACATTCTTAAATTTAGAAATTTATTTCAATAGTTAGTTTTCTAATATTTGGCTTTTATGTGCTTCTTTAAAGGAAAAGGTATGTTTATGTTGTTAATTGTGACAATGGACCTGGAATAGACATGCCACTTATAGTTGATTCTTCGGGTACTTACGTGCGTCGAGAAGGATTAGGTGGCAAATATATTTGTGGAAGATCACCATCTCCTGTAAGTAAATAAAATGAAATTTTAATATGTGTGATAAAATAATGTAAGATTTTGTAATCCAATGTAATAACTCCGGATGCAAAATTGCACAAATTATAAGTGTAATTTGCATTATAATATGTGTAAACTTATTTAATATAAGTTTTGGCTTTCTAACAAAAAGAGTTTTCTATTTTAAAAAAATTTTAATGATTTATTAGTGCAAATAAAGCATATTATTATGTTTTTTGTTGTATTAAAATTTTATACAAAGAAATTATAATATTTTTAAAACTTAAAAGTCCAAATTCCAGCCTGATTGGGATTATAATCTATCTAAGACCACTGGGATCCACCTGGTAGCTCGCAGGCACCTGTTTGCGTGAAGTCTCATCGTTAGGTGCCCACCAACTACAATCACAGTATTATCATGAGAGGGGAAAAAAAACTTTTCTTTAATCCTAATGTTAAAAAAAAAAAAAAAAAAAAAAAAAAAAAATATGCATATCACCTGTAGGAGCTTTGCATTTGTGTTCACCTACTCTCATGTCACGTCACCTTCACTCTGTCCCATTTCCACATCTTTATCTGCAGTAATCAATTAACTTAGCCTTGTTTCACATATATTTACTTATGTATTTTTGTTTGATATTTCATGCCATATTTATTACTATCATAAAAATTCCTTTTAAATTTATTTCATTTTTTGAATATTCTGTTTGATTTGGAGCAATATATAGTTCATGAGAAAACATTGGCTATCTGAAAAAAGAAAATGCTAACATTATTGACAGATTTTCCTTGAGAGTTAGTTATTGAATGATAAATGGCAGCAAAATCTCTTCTTTCGTGAATGAAGGAGAGGTCTGTTCAAGGCAGAAGTACTCTGTTATTTTCATTAAGTGCCTGAAAGAGTTCTGTTGTAATAAAATTTTTAAACATTTCTTGACGATTACACTAGTGCCTTTCAGAGCTTAAATTGTTCTGGAGCTTGGCTGCAGTAATTTTTGTCATGAATCGGAATTTTAGCCAGATTGCACAGGAGTGCTAGGACTCCAGCTTTTCATTTGTGTAACTAAACCAAAATTTTAACAGAAAATTCTTTTGATTTCTAAAACGTTATTTTAATAATTAGTAAGGCCTTAAAAATCGATTCTAACTTCTGAATGCATGCTTAATCTTTCCCTGAGGATCAAATTCTTCGATGGAGATTTTTAAGGAAAGAAAAGCGCTATTCATATGCCAAAGGCTTATTCTCCAGCTAGTGCAATTAAGTATAAGAGTAAAAAAGTTTCCGCTTCTGAAAGTACTAGAATTCAAGCCCAGTGCTAGTGACTTCCCACGGAAAAGAGCACCTGCAGACTTTTCGAAATGATATAACCAAACACAGAAAACGGAAATTGTCCCTTTACAAAACAATTCTCGACATCGTAGAAAATGTTTTTCTCAATTACGTTTGCTTGACAGTAGAATTATATAGGCAGGGGTATGGTGGTCAGAAAGTCTTGGTCTCTTTTCTTTATTTTCTACCTGTACAGCTCCTTAAAATTGTCCTTTCATACTTTCATACTGTTTCAATCATTCTTTCTATTCTCATTAGTGATATTTTATTCGTTTTACAGTTTTCGATTGGTGTGCTGAAAAAAGGATAGTCATTGTTTCTGCCATCTCTTTAAATCTTATTTTGTACTGTATATTGAGGGTTTAAATTTAGCCAAAGCTCAGCTGAGCTATTTCTCTTATTTTGAATGATATTGTAATTCCAACTGGTACCCCATGCCGAGCTCTGGTATTTTATTATTTAACTACTTATCATTCCTATAATAATTTATTACACTTTTATTTATATATTTACATATAATTAAATTTTAGTTTTAAGTATTATTAATTTTATTTTTGCCCTTTTATTTTCAATGGCCTTCCATAGGGCTCCAGCACTTCTAATTTTAGAAATTAAGCCCTAGTGTCATAACAGACATTTCTTTTCATGATCATATTTCTTACATGAATTAAATTTCCCTTTTAAAGTACTTTGATATTTTAAAGAAAAATTATAATTAACTTTGTACTGTGTACTTCTAACTTACAGTTGAATGTGAAGAATCTTAAGAACTAGTAAGCGAATAATTGCTTGAGTTTATGGGGTAGAAAACAACAAGCGAGAAGGGTGAAATAACCTTTATTATTCCAGCTAAAGTTTAACAGAACTCCGTCTTGCAGTTGTACAATAAAGCCCACACTCGGGCTTGAACTTAAGAAACTAAGAATTAAACTAAACTAATCTTAACTAAAGAGATATAGCCGGAGCTGTCAAACTTCTAACGGAGTTGGCCCCTTAACGCTCATTGACTGCAAAGCTATTAAGAGTCTAAAGTACAGCTGAGCATAATAACAGCTTAAGAGAGATAATAATAGCTTAAGAGAGAGTAGCCTAAAAAGGCAGACGCGTGCTAAACAGAATCTCTGGTTCTCTCTGACTAAGACAGCAGAACTTCGCGGTTAAATACCACTCTTCCTCAATTTACAATCAGACGTGATTCTAAAACTGCATTCTGGCCGGCAGTGGTAAGTAGAAATTAAGAAACGATAGGAAAGGAAGTTTAACTCAAAATTTAACTGTTAATAAAATTAACATAATCCTTACAACCTTTTATTCTTTGTTGGAATTTTGTTTCTCTCAAATTCAGGACAGCTAATTTCAGAACTTACCCTTTGCTTTCTTAGTGACAGCTTGGATATAAATTGTTATGAATTTTGTACATATGTAAATAACTTTACTGAAGTTATAAGTAAAAAATGATAGTATCTTTTGCATAATGTAACATGAAATGCGTCAAGAGAGGAAGCTCTGCCAGAAAATTAAGATTACAGGAACAAGCCTATTTAACATTAAGGAAAATGTTTTTTTTGCTGAGCTGGCAATGATTTTGGTGACCAATTTTTTGCCAAATTTGGTGAGAAATCTCCAAAAGTCGCATACTTGGTGACATTTTAGTTCAGCATTTTTACGTTTGGTAGCCATAAGTAACTGTAACCGTATCCAGCCCTTATAGGGCAAGGTTGCTTAAGTCGTACACCCTAAGAAAATATGGGTATAAATCGTAAAGTCAATGAAAAAATAAAAAACATATCTGTGGTAACAATATCATGTGTTGTCGACGCTGATATTTATGACAATAAAATTCCATATGATCTACTGTCTTGGATGAAATTGATAAAATTTATGAGCACAAACTTAATATGACTTAGACAACCAAAGTTTTAAGTCATACCATCTATAGCTTAAGTCGTACTACGTTTAAAATTCAACACTTATAATAAAACTTTCTTCTTTCTATTTCTTTGTGCAATTAATTCCAACAATGATCAAATATTTTTTTTTTTTTTTTTTTCTTCAACTCCAGCACATAAATCTTGTGCTCATATTCTCTTCACGGTCTTCCTCACAAATATTGCAGGATGACGGAACATGATGTGAAACATTATCGTTGACTAGGGGATAACACGTTTTGCCGGAAGAGGTACAGTTATCGTTATATTACGCTAATAGTTAAGTGATACAATTTGCACAGCCATGCTGTATGTATCTATAACCATATATGCTAATCAGTAATTTCGAGAAATGGTAGATACTAGAAATTTCTCGGTAACTGGAGGGAAACTATCTTAGACCATAGAGAGCATCAGTTTTTCAGTTTCGAGTAGACTTCAGACTGTTGAAAGATCCCCGTGTGAGCTTCACAGTTTTGATGTACTTCTTTCTTTGCTTTGGATTCTTTGGATTCTTGGCTCGCCTCTGTTAAAGAAGAGATGGAATCAATCCAAGAAAGAAAGGAAAGGTCTGTTTTAGAAAAGATTGAAGCAGATCAAGAGGAAATGAAAAGAGAAATTACTACTGTAATATAAAACAAATTCGAGGCTATGGAAGGCAGAATAGATGTGGTTGAAAATAAAGTTAGAGAAACTGATGAAAGAATTTTTGCTGCCAAACAACGAATCGAAGAAAGTTTCTGCTGCTGAGCAGCAAACTGGAGGAAGAGGTTTTGCTGTCGGACAACAAATTGATGATAGAGATTCTGCTGATGTCGCCACGGTTGACAGCTTAAAGAAATCTGTACTCATCACAGAAACATAGTTACCAATTCTTCCGATTTCCTACTGTACTCCCACCAGCCCGATTTACAACATATTTCTCCCGACTTTCTCTTATTCTTAAAAGTTTCTCACGATTTTTAACTAGCTTGGCTTAATACTTCATTATTGCACCCCAAAATGAGATTTTTGACGTCTGAAAGTACATGGTTTTTTTCTAGACTACATACAAAATAAAACTATTTTCGTCAGTGAGACATTATGGCACGCTTCTGGTTTTTGTGTGAGAGCAAATGTATCCGAAAACGTCGTCTTCCAGTTCTCCAGTGAGCATCAAACATTAGTACGGGCCACATATTTCACAAGTGCACATCAGCATAGCCACTGAGGGAGGGGTTTCAAAAATGGACCAATTAACTTTTTTGCTCTTGTGACGCTAAATCTTCTTGTGAACGTGAGCGTATGTTGTTTACGTTTTAATTTGCATTTGTTTCGCAGTTATAAATGTATGGTGTAAAAGTAGAAAATCTCGTAGTGCTTTCGTTTTATAAGTTTAATTAATCGCTGACATTTCACTTTCACAATTTTTATCACGCTGTGATATTTGGATTGATGTTCACGGCATATTATCGCTCTTTACACCGAGAAAATGACTCAGGCTACATTAGCCTCGAATATTTACTAACAATGTGGATTAAGAGAATTCATGTGCTAGTTTATTATTATTATTATTTATTGAGCTGAGAAGGTCTGGAAGTGTTCCATGAATCTAAGTGTTTTCTTATCTCAGTGCTTGCATTCATTTGATTTTTGAAAGTGTAAATTCAGAATACATACTGTGTATGATCTGATTATATCCCTTGTTAACATTAAAAGTTATATGTGAATAATTGAATATATTCGTTGTGATAGATAAATTCATTCTGTTTGATGAATATTTCTTGCATAGACATATATTAAGAGTGAGCAGTTATTAATGGAAATTTAACACACCTAAATGCAAATTAGGGAAGTTCACTTTAAATAAAATTCTGCATTGGCTATTATTATAACATCTTTTTCTTATAGACTGAAATAAAATGTGCTGACTTCTATTTACATATATAACTGGTGTAAATATTTTATTTTTAATTAATAACTGGTGTAAATATTCTCATATGCAAAATTTTATGTAAAGATTGCATTTGGGCTCAGATGTGCATCACATATTTATTTAATCTTATTTATCACTTATTAAGTAATATTTCGCATGAATATTTTTACGGAGTATCCGACACGTGTTTGTATTTATTTCAAATTCTATTATAACATCTTTTTCTAAGACTGAAATAAAAAGTGCTGACTTCTATTTATATATATAACTGGTGTAAATATTTTTCTCATATGCATAGTTTTATGTAAAGATTGCATTTGGGCTCATGTGCATCACATATTTCTTTTGTCTTATTTATCACTTATTATTAAGTAATATTTTGCATGAATATTTTTACGGAGTATCCAACACGTGTTGGTACTTATTTTCAAATTCTTTCAACCAGGTAGTGAATCTTCATAATTGCTTATATTTGATCGATCTTCGCAATACAATTTTCAGAAGAAATAGACGATGTACAAATTGCGTGGCAAAATATTTTCAAGCATCTTGCTTAAATCTTAAAGCGTGCGAAAGGTCATGTGACATGACAGAAATATTGCTGGATGCTTATTGGTCTATCCTAGAAGCCACTCCCTCAGTGGCTACACAGATGTGCACTTGTGAAATATGCCTACGGGCCATCTGGCATATATTAGCCAATGAGTACAAAGCAAGATCAACGTTGTTATATCGTTTGTCTCGCCGCTGAGCACTGTGAGTTTCACTTGTTTTCAAGGAATATTTTAGGAAATTACAATCTTTCATTTGTGTTGACGAAAAAGGTAAAATATTAATATGCCTTTCAAAAATCGTACACAGATGATTTTCCTTCTATTATTTCGTCAAGGAAATGTAATACATTTGCGATGTTCACCGTTTGCCAGTGCAATTTTTCGATTTCACACAGTGAAAGACATGTGTGTACTTAAAAAGCACAAGGATAATGCCAGTTGTACCAAATTCTTCTATGGAAACAAAGGACCAAAAAATTATTTAAGCAGAATGCCTGTTCTCTGCTTTTCTACTAAAGCTCAACTTGGCATTGAATACATCAGATCCTGCTACAACTCTGTTTAGAAAAACCTTTCCTGATAACGAAATTGCTAAGAAATACTCAAGTGAAAGGACAAAAAACGTCTGCAGTTCCTAAAGAAATGATTATGAAAGATAAATCATCTGTTATTGATTACATTAAAACAGCTTCATTCTGCCTGTTTGTGGATTGAAGCAATAATACCAATGCAAAACTCTATCAAACTGTTGTTTCTTTTTTTTTTAATCCAGAGTCTTCAGAAATTGAGTGTAGTTTACTTTTCGTCCCCTTTTCAGAAGGAGATTTGGCAAGGTTTAATATAGCACAGCTAATTATTAAATAATAATAAAAAAAATCTTAAAGCTTTCAGATTCAATATATATATTTCAGACCAAAATATTCAAGCTGTCAGAAATAAAAGTGTGAGTGAAATATTTTATCATGGTAATTTAAAGTAAACAGTTTGTTATAGTTATTTTCAGTAAAACCAAAGGTTAATTGTTAGAAATGTAAATTAAAAATAAAGAATTTGAGAATGGAAGAATTTTGAAAAATTAGTGATATTTTTGTACCTTTCATTTAATGAAGTGTGTCATTTTCTAATATTCTTATATAAGAAATATATTTTGGCTATGTTTTATTTAGAATTGAAAAGTTAATTTATATTAGTAATACTGCAAAAAAAATTGATGCACCAAGAAGGACTTTTGCGATCGTGACGAAATTTGGTATGCAAAAACATCTTGATCGAACATACAAATGATCAAGGTTTCCAGGCAAATGAACAGGAATAACGATCATAGTGCATATTTCTAGTGCACAATTCGGAAAGTATAAAACTAGTAACAGAGGCGAAAAATTTATCTTTTTTTGTTGCTGCCATTATAATTCCATAAAGAAGCAACTAAAGATGCCATTACAACGATATCGAAGACCTTACAGACGACTAAATGACTTCAAACGTGTTGCATTGAGGGTTGTTAGCTAGGTGGTCACCCGAGCAATAGGCCGCCACCTGCAGCGTACAGACACTGCTGTGCAAAGTTGTTGCAGCAAGTTTGCTACAAGAAATTGCCGACGAAATGAAGGCTCTGGAAGCCAAGGAGCACAAATGCAAGGCAAGATAGGATGATTGTTCGCGAGGCCCGAACTGTCCTAACAGTATCATTGTCAAGTATTTCATTGCACTACAGCCGCATCTGTACCTCCCGTGATATTGTCCACCATCTCACGCGTTTGTCTGAGACAACATTACACTCACAGAGGCCTTTAAGACGTTTGCTTTTGACCCCACAACATCGGCGGAGTCGTCTGGAGTGGTGTTGCAGCCGATCATCATGGCATTTTATACTGTTCAGCGATGAATCCTGCTTCACTCTTGAAGCAGATGACCACCATTTTCATGCCTGGAGAGGACGGGGCCAATGATCCCAATCAGCCTTTGTTTTACAAAGGCATACAGCCCTAACCCCTGGTGTGATGGTGTGGGGTGCTATTTCTTATGACAACAGATCATCTTTAGTCATCTTCCATACATCTTTAACAGCTCAAAGATATGTTAATACCATCCTGCGGCCGCTTGCATTACCCTGCATGGCACGTCATCCTGGGGCCATTTTCCAACAAGATAATGACAGGCCACATACCGCTGCCATATCTCTGACTGTCTCTGTGTGGTTGATACGCTTTCTTGGCCAGCAAGGTCACCAGACCTTTCACCAATTGAGCATGTCTGGGGCATGGTAGGACGACAGATTCGGGCACCGCAAAATATTGCAGATCTGGAGCAACAACTGATGAATGCCTGGTAGAATGTGTTGCAGGATGACATTAGGAACCTCTATCACTCCTTGCCCCGACAAATTCAAACATCATATTTCCACCAGGGGTTGTTCGACCAACTACTAATTTGAACATCAACGGGTGATTGTGAGCCGTGAACAGATACTTTGATTTTTGATTTGAATACCTTGATTTTTTTAATGATTTTGTTATCTGTGTATGGAGCTGTACACATATTCAGTTTCATCAAAAACAACCACTTCCTTCCTGGTGCTTCAATTCTTTTGCAAAAGAGTGTAGATTCCAGTGTAGAAAATTGTATCTGAATTGTGGCTTTTTGATTTCCGTTTGTATATTTCAGGGCTAATATGAGATTTCATATAAGTTCAATTTAATAAAAATTATAACATTTAAACATTTATTTGTGATTTGTTTCCCCATATTTTATAGAATGAAGAGCCGGATATCAGCACCTTAGAAGTAGACTATAATTTTTTTGAAAAATCTGTTTGGCCGGTACTGGCACATCGAATACCAGCATTCGAAGCAATTAAAGTAAGTATAGATTTTATTTGTATGACTGAGCGATTAAATTTTTTTTTATCTACAGATTTATTTTTGCTTGACTTATTTTTACTTCCTTTTACGAAATAATGGAGTTATTGTAATCGCTAAAAATTTCGGGTATCATATTTCAATGAAAACATCCAATTTGACCACTCTCAAATCCATATAAACCATGCTTTTCCATGACATCTGTACATACTGACAAAATAAAGGACACTTTTCTCCAAAATGGATTGTAAAATGGATTTAAAATGGATTCATGAGAAATTTTTTCGTGACGTCTGTACATACATATGTATCTTGCATAACTCGTAAACGAATAGCTTCAGAACATTGGAATTTTGTATATGGGACTGCTATAAACATGTAGTTATGCACCTTCCTTTTTGGTTGCAATTGGCGGCACCAAAGGTATACATATGGACACACGCACTCTGTTACCCAGCTTCATGAGCTCAGTTTTTTTATTCATGTATGGTAAATTGTGCATTTTTTTGCTTTAAAAGTGATTCAGTAATGTTATTCTTATGTTCCAATTAAGGTTTTTTATGCCTTTAGCTAATCTGCATGCAGTAATTGTAGAATTATCAACAGTTTAAAATTTAAGTGGCACTAGGCCTAACTAGGCCGTCATTTGTTTACATTTGAAACTTTTAGTACAATAGTGAATTAAGTCTGTTTCTGCACTCTTTCAGTGTTTTTTTACCATGTGGACCAAAAGTAAACTTTCAATTTTGTGCACTGAAAAATCTGTCTTTGTGCCCACCAGGCAAATTGCTTGTTTTTGCGTAAAAACTCTAATTTTAGTTGTACATTTTTCAACTGTAACTTTCAACTGTGTTTTATGTTTTTCTGTATTTTACAATTTTTAACGAAGATGTTTTGAGTTTTTATGTATTTTTGCTTTGCTGTGAAGTGAGACTGAATTGATTGAATGAAAAACATATCTGTAATGAAATTTGAGAAAATAAGTTTAAATGAAATGCAGACAAAATTGTGAATAATTTAGTGGTCCGTACAAGAATGTCATGTGGTGTCCACATCAGATTTATTTATAAGAATTAATTTTATATTTGAATTGCCCATTTATCTTTCAATGAATAAGACACTAGTCTGAATTATAATAATATTCAATTTCAGTGTTTTCATTAAATATATAACAGCTTTAATATATGTAAGCATAAAAGTTCAATTAATATATTTTGAATTCTTAATCAACTTAAGAACATTCAATGCAGTATATACGGAAATTAATATAAGCTTCGTAAACTTAAATTTGATAAATGCAGCACATGTATGAGATATAAAGATTAAATTATAGAAATATACATAAATTTATGAAAATAAATATAATTGTTTTTGTTTACATATAAATAGCAAAAGCCTGAAACATCTCTTAGCAAAAAATATAAATAGAATAGTTACCAGATAATCCATGTGGTTTAAATAATGGCACCTTTTTGAGATAGTGTTAGTAGTTCATTTCATGTTACTTATTGATATTTTATTTTTATAGATATCAAGTGCATGGGCTGGGTATTATGATTATAACACATTTGACCAAAATGCTTTGTTTGGATGTCATCCTTATTTCCCAAACATTTACTTTGCAACTGGTTTCAGTGGTCATGGCATTCAAATGGCTCCTGCTATTGGACGGGCTATGATGGAACTGTTAATAGATAAAGCATATGTTACCATTGACATGTCAAGGTTCCATTTGTACCGTATTTTTAATGAGGAGCCTTTATATGAAAAAAATATTGTTTAACATTTTTCATAATAATTATTAAATATTTTATTTCTAATCAGTAAATCTGATTTTTTCATAACATGCAGTAGAACCTCAATTACCAAGACCAGGATATTCACATCGCATGTTGTTGCTCATAAATTAAACTTCTTTGCTAATTTTAATACATGTTTTTAATTTTTTCTTTGTTTAAATAATACTGTTGCATGCACATCAGTTGATAAAGGATTGAATGCACACAGAAATAGCTTTTAAAATGTACTTTCCCAAAACAAACATTTTTCAGTTTTGGATCTATTCACAAAAGTACTCGTACAGATCTTCTTAGTATCACAGAGCACAATCAGTAGTTACACTTTGAACCACTAAGAACAATAAACACATTGCAATGCAAAGTGCATCTAATAGGCTCATACGAAGGTATCCCAATGTTCCGAAGTCAGCTCTGAACAGAAAAATATGAGAGCTGATGCTCTCTTATATAGTTTCTTTCCCCTAGCTGCCGTGAAATCCCAGAAAAGATGAAGAAACCTTTTGAAGTCAATAGAAACATTATTATCTTATATATATATATATATATAAACACTAACTATGGAGAAGAAAATTGAATGAAGATGCAGGCAAAAATTGTTTTTTAGTATTGCAGCAATTTTTTATGTTGAATAAAGTTGATCTTTCTCAAGATATAAAAACCATGTTTGAAGGGTACTTATGAGAGGCTAGATAGCTAATTATTTGGTTTGATAAATACTTTCAAAATAATAAAATTTGATATGTTTGCATGGATTCAAGATCCATTTGATATTAATGTTCCATCTGAATGTACTTCTGTGGTAGAAGAGAAACGAGTTATCTTGCGACAACAATTTGAAAGCAGAATTTTGCAGCATAGAATTGACAAAATTTTGGATTTCAATAAAAGATGAATATCCCCTTCCAAATGTCTTTGCTTATTTTAATTCCATTTTCGACATCGTATTTGTGTGAGGCTGGGTTTTTGGCTTTAATAAAAAGAAAGTATACAGCAAAAGTCAGTGTGAAAAGGAAATAAGGGTGGCTGTGTCCAATTTAATTCTATGATTTGAGAAAATGTGCAAACACGTCCATCACATTAATTATTAATTTATAATAATTAATTATTAATAAAGTAAAACAAAATGTTAAATAATGAAGATACATGAACTCTATTTTTAACTCTTACGTACGATTAGTCATACTTTTACTTAAGATAAGGGAACTGTGGAAAAGTTTTAATTGGGAAAATGTGTCGTGACTCAGAAAGATTTGAGAACCATTATATTAATCAATGTAAAGGTTCTTTCTCAGTAGCATATGGTAATTTATATTTTTCAAACTGATAATGTTAATGCGAGATTGAATAACTCTGCATTACCCAGAAAGAAAAGCCGCCTGAAAATTTCTGTATCTTCCTCTAATTCTGAGGTATAAACTTTTAAGAAGAAGAAAAGGAAAAGAAAAAAAAAAAAATGGAAGAAAGAATTATAGTTTTATTTTTTTATTTAAGTAATTTATAGGTATAATTTGTAGATTCCAAAGGATCACACCACTCAAATTATTATGGTTATAGATATGCATATTTAAAGAAGTAGAACTTTCTATACATATACATCTTTCTCAAATTTACCTGTGTCATACAGCCATCATCATCTTGCTGTAGCATTTAAACTACTTGTCTTGTTTACGAGAATAAGAGTCACTTACAGAAGGAAATCATATCGCAATATGTAAAAAAGCAGCTGTTTGATGTACTCAAGATTTATGCTGATTGCACAAGTCTAATGTTATCGAAATTCTAAAAGGAATATCTACATTGTTTTCTGAATTCTGGTCCTTTCCGCTAATTTATTTATCAAATGGATAAATGAATGCAAAGGACTACGAAAATCTGTGACATTCGCGAATTCTGTTATGATGAGTGGTTGATCTTTTGACCGTTCTCTTCAGTAATGAATTTTAACAGCCTTCCTATTGTGTCATATGTAATTATAAGAATGCAAGAAAGGATATAAAAAAAGAATATAAGGATGTAAGAATTGAGTCTGACTTCTCTTTTGCAGTGAAGTTAGTAGCAGTAAAAACCTGTGATTGCTTTTAATTCCCAACTCATTCCAGAACATTACTTTCAATTCTCTGCCAGGACATTACACGAACCAAAAGTCTGCATGCGTGAGTGAAAGTATTTTTTAAATGAAGTTCAATTCAGAGTTTATTCTACATATGAAACAACATCTAAAGAAGTTAAATCTGTTTGAAAAAGCCATATTGTTTATCAAAATGCCCCATGTTGTCTAGATGAAAAGATGCTATTGTCAGGTGAAGCGAAAGCGATTTTGTTGCTCGCTATGCCCCCTCTGTCATACAGTTAATGGAAGAAAGGGTATATAAAGCTATATCAAGGATAACGCATTTTACCTATTTTAAAAAATTAAGATGATATTAGCCAAGCACCAAGCACTGAAACACATATGACTGACAATGTGATTTGCATGTGTGCTGAAACCTTGGAGTTTGTAGTATAAGGTAATGCTCCCGCCTTCGTGGTGTGATGGTCTGCACTCTAGGCGCATATACTAGAGGTCTGCAAGGCATTGCTAATTTTTCATCTTGCTTGCTTCCAAAAATACCTAATGTCTCTACAGTGGTGCCTGAACTAAAAGAGTGTTGGATGATGACTCTGCACACCCAGGATTTAGCAATTGGGTCCCCTAAAAAACCATACTTGCCCTTTAAAAGGGGGGTATATAAGGTAGTTCTTCCGCCTTCATGGTGTGGTGGTTTGCACACTGAGCGCGTATTCCTGAGGTCCACGGTTCGATTCCCAGCAAAGGCGTTGCTAATTTTTCATCTTGCCTGCTTCCAAAACTACCTAATGCCTCTACAGTATAAGAAAAGGCAATCCCTTAGTCTTTTGATAAAATTTTAGGAAGAAATGAAAAAGATGAAGCAACATTAATAGTCAGATACTATCCGATAATGAATTCATAGAATTGTTTGAAAGGATAATAAGTTCGGGACACGCAGCGTAACAGGATATTTCGAAATGGACGAATGTAGACAACAACAAACTTAATTTTCAGGTGTCGAATAAAAAAGAAATCATTTTCATCGTGTATTTAGTGAATAATAAAATATGTAATGATGAGACCTTGTGTTGAGGATGGACGATGGAACCGAAACGGGCAATGAGAAAATTAGCTATGCTGGAGGATGCTGAAGCTTTGAAATAAAGCTCTTCAGTATTTAGATAATGCTTCTCTTATAGATATTACTGATCAAAAAACAGCAGTGATCAGATGGGAGGGGGAATATTTTTGTCACAAAATAAAATTTTCAAAATTCCGTGTTTAACTAACAGGAAAAAATAATCTGCCAATAAAAGAATTTTGTTTATTAAAATATTTATAGGTGCACTTCTGATTTAATTTTTAGAATTTCAAATAAGTATACTTAGAATACCTTGTCGAATAAAAACAATCTACACCTAAAATTTGTGTGACAAATCATAAATTAAAACACTTTATTTAAAATCAAAATAGTCAATCGGATTTCGGTGGAAAATGGGCCGATATAGAGTTTAACATAGATTCAAAACAGTCTCTATTTTCTTTGACCTGATGCTGTTGCCATATGAACTCTGCTAAATAAGATTCTAATGATTCTCACTGTCCGAATTTATGACTTTTGACTGTATAACAGTTTTATCTGATAAATCAAGTTGCTCTTTAACAAAATTTAATCAACATTAACTCCTCGCACCAGCAGTATATGAATCTCAAAGCTGAAGAAAGTGAAATTCTGCTTCCTTCAAACCAGTTGTCTTTTCTAAGTCCCACTTGCTGATCTCACTGTCTTAAATAACATTTCCAAAACATATATTTACCAATGAGAGATACCTAGAGACAATGAGGACATCTTTGTAAGTTTAAAAGAATGTTCTAACTTATTTCATTTTAAATGAAATTTTCTTTTTTACAATTATACCAGCTTCATAGCATGCAAATTGGTACATTTTCGTTTTTTTTGTAAAATATTTCGCTCCTGAAAAAATAAAATTGCATCTTCATCTGTGTTTGGGAAATCCCAAAGACGCATTTTGATAGCACTAAAAAATGGCGCGAAAAATCAACAAATAACAAGGCCAAAAGGAATCCAAAAGATAACTGCATGCGAACAAAAGGCTTGCTCTTTATTGGCACATCAGCGCAACTTCTGTTGCGGTGGCGTTAATATGTAAGTACCAGATCTACTACTTCCAAAGATAAGAAAAAATTTTTTAATCATTCAAATACATAAAAAATAAATTAAAATAAAAAGTAAAACCAAAAGGTTTCCATATAATAATTATATTGAACCGGAAAGGAAGGCAATTTATTGAATAAATGTGACTTATTGAAATGTTCGGGTTTGTCCTGCACAAGTTCCCGGCACTAATACTTTGATTTTTTTATTTTTAAGCTTCTTAGCTACAATTTCTTCCCAATTTTGTACTAAGGCTTACTTTTTTTAAAGTATTTATTACAAGTGCCTTCCGTTTCAGTTCAACGTAATTATTTTGTGAAAATTTATTGATTTTATTTTTATTTTCATGCATTTTTATTTATTACAAAATTTTCTCTTGGTCTTTGGAAGTAGTAGATTTAATTCATATATATATGTATATATATTTTTGATCAGTAATATGTATAAGAGAAGCATTATCTAAATACTGAAGAGCTTTATTTCAAAGCTTCAGCATCCTCCAGCAAAGCTAATTTTCTCATTGCCCGTTTCGGTTCCATCGTCCATCCTCAACAGAGTAATGCCTGGAGCAACAATCCACCGTTAATCCAAGCAGAGTTAAAAGCATAAGAAAGAATAACTCACATAATAGCAAAATATCATTAATAATTTACCTGTGCTTTCAAGCAGTTTAATTCAGGTGGTTCATTTGGCTGTATAAAACAGAATTTGAAGTTCTCGCTCTGTATCGCGCTTGCAACCTCCTCCTTTCTTTTTGTCTTCAAAGTTTGCATGCTGTTAGTTTTCGCTTACATTGCTCCTGATATAACTCATTGTGAAACAGAAGTTAATGGCTCTACACGTGATATATATTTTAAGACTGAGCAATTTGCTTTTAATGAATGGTTAACAATGTTTATACGTTCCATATTACCTGTACCATTGAATTGCGGATTGTTGTTGTTAAAAGCAGTTGCCAGATATTGCTGTAGTATGCACTGTTATATATCGTTGCTAGCTAAGCATTTTTCTTTACTATTTTGTATTTTTCATAGACAGTTTTGTGTTTCTGGTGGATTGCAATAGTAGTTTTTCCATAGTTCCGCATTAAATAAACGGATAGTATATTAGATATTCTTGAATTTCAGTCTTTTTTATTCCTATAAGTTTAGAAAAGGCGCTTCAGCAACTATTAAAATTAAATAAAAATAATTCAATAAATGATAGTAATAGAAAGGAGAAAATGATCACATAAATTCGCGTTGCGATGTAATTTTTATCTAAGATAAGCCGATACCTTACTCATTAAAACCGAGCTCGATTTGTACTTCAAGAATTTTATCATTATTAAAAGTAAATCAAACTATATCAGTAAAAGGAAACTCAAATTCAGTTAAATGATCCATGCATTGAGATAGCATTATGTTTGGAATTACACTAACTTTTTTGATTCAAAAAAATTAATCATATTTTGCAGTTGCCAAATGCCAGTAAGAATTAATATTATCGTCTGTGCTACGGACCATAAAAGAATTCTCCAGCTGATCTTCTCAGTGCTTGCTCGGAACGTTTCTTCTCTGTACTGAAAGAAAAATCGAACAGTCTGTAAATAACATTTAGACACATAAAATGATAAAATAAAAAGAACCACTGAAGAAGTTGGATTACAACTGTACGTTCATGTGCAATTAACAAACATATCAATGTAAACTTTCAAATACTTAGAATGTGGCAGTAAAAGTGAAAATTGCGACCTTTTTCGCTACATTTTAATGCTTGATTTTTAGAAACTTATACTGCTACTTTCACACAATGGCTTATAGTATTTGTTTCCGTACACTTATATTTTTTAAAAATTCATTTGAAGGATATTCAAAGAAATACTGAATGACTGTTACTTTCATGCTTTTATTAAATATAAAATATTTGTTCATAGTGTCTGAGTATTTATGCAAGTTCATTTTCAAAACATTTTGAATAAATTATTTTTTTATTAAAAACCTTTTTAAGAATTTCTTTCAAAGCAAGCAGGTTATGATCTATAATAAAAGTGAGGAAAAAAAAGAGTCATTTTGTTAATATTTGATAGCTGATATTTTAAATAACGCAGGAAAACGGAAATGTATGAAAACAAATGTGACCCCCCCCCAAAAAAAAATGCCTAATCCATACAGGTATTTACCAAAACGTAATAAACAATAACAATTACAACATAAAGGGAAAAATTCGAATTTATTTTCTATCTAAAATCTAAATTTTGGTACCTGCAAGAAATTTTTCTTGATTATGCCTCCCAATTGTAATGTTACATTTTCAAACTTGCATTTACTTTAGATATGTAGAGTTAACCTCTAAATAACTTTCTTAAACAACTAAAAAATAACAAATTTTAGAAAAACTTTCAAATTGAAGCAAAACGGGAGAATAAATATTAAGAACTCTCTTTTGTTTATTTGATTTGATATTATTTATTTGAATTGCGTTTTTTTCGGAAGAATACTTTGTGTCCCAGACTCGGATGCATCAGAAAACTGAATATAGTAAAAGAGAAAATACAGTAAAACACAGTTAACACGTCTTTCAGTGTTCCGTTCAGAAAAGATATATAAATGAGGAAGATCTATAACCGACATTTTAACTTAGGATGACTTGCATATATTGCTTTAAATAGCTTTAACATTGTGCTCATTGCTTTACACAATTTTATCATCCTACATTTAGTTTCTTAAAATGTTATTCATATTTTAGTCAAATATTTTATTTTTGAAATCGCAAGAATCAAACATCATAAGATTAAAAAGTTTTAAATTTAAAAATGTACTAATTTTTTTTCTTCTTAATGGCTTGCTTTTTTTCTTCAGGCATTTTGCAAGTATATTAAAAAACATCCAACTTTTCGAAACATCTTGGTATTTCTGACATTCATTTTAAATAAAATTATTGCCTTCCATTTCATAAAGACCCACAAATGGCCGAGCGGTAAAGTCGCTGAACACTCATAGTTCGATCCGAGGGTTCGAATAACGGCGAATAGGCTGGTTGCATGGGCGTTTTCATGGTTTTTTCTCATTGTCACGAAGGCATCCCTCCTTTTAAGCAGAGAGCCATTTTTCCCATGTGTAATGTGTATACGAGCCAGTTTCCCTTAGAAAGTTCTCCAAGAAAGCATCCCTCCCCTTAGGCAGACGGCCCTAGTGTGCTTTGCCATAATTAAATACACACACCTTTTAAGCAGATAGCCCTGCTTTGCCATATCTTAATAATCCAATTCATTCCATTTCATCAGTATTTGGTCTTTAGAGGCTAAGCATTTTGAAGGCATGAGATGAAAGGAAAGACTGGTTTCATCAAGAGAGAAAACGTCTTTAGGCGACATCCACATATATCACTGGATAAATTCCTGAATATTCAAATAATTTGACAAAGAATGGATTCTCCGTTATGATGATATGATGTTCTATAACGTAATTTAAATTTATACAAACATGTAGTCGAAAACCAGTCGCTCTTCACTTTAATCTGCAATGATATCGTTTTTGTCTTTTCCGTTAGCACAAGTTCAGTTGATGGTATTTGCTGGTGTACACGTCCAATTGTTTTCTCTTTGAACACACAAATTCCTTGAAGTGTTCTGAAGGTACAGGGGGATCTTTTTTAAAGTGACATTGTTTGGAGCAGTAGCGCGATCTAATAGCCGAAATGGCACCAAACTTGGTACTTAAACTAATCAAGACATGGGACATCAAGACTTACAATCGTACAGATAAATTATTAATGTTTATTTACTACATTAACTTCCTCGGTGAGGAATTAGACTACATTCAATGTGAGCACCGTTCTCAGAAATAACACCATGCATTCTGTGCACAGCGTTCTCCACAGCCGTATGTAACATATCACGAGGAATAATCTGCACTGTCTTTGTTATGTTGTCCTTTAGAATAGACAAATTTGATACTTCCACCAACATAAACTTGAGATTTCAAATACCCCCAGAGCCAAAAATCGCATGGCGGTGAGGTCGGGGGTAAACTAATGGGGCCATGCAACTGGAAAATCTGCCAACTTATGACTCTATCATCAGTGAAGTTTTGGCGCAACAGTTGTTGTATCTTATTACTAATGTGTGGCGGAGAACCATTCCTGCATAAAGATTTGTCTGTTGGGAGATGATTTCTTTGCTGAAGTTGTGGAATAACAAACGTTTGCAGCATTTCGTGGTACCTTTCTGCATTTATGGTGCACGTTTGGAGTCCTGTCGGAGTGATGGTCTCAAAAAAGAATGGCCAATTCGGCTGTGAAACCACATCAAACAGTGACTTTTGGGGAATTTAATGGGATTTCGTGCATGGTGTGGGGCTGCTCAGATGCCCAAATTCGGCTATTTTGTGCGTTTACGGACCCATTGAGAAAAAAATGGCACTCATCTCCCCACAGAATGTGTCATGGGAAAGCATCATCAATTTCTACCCTGGCAAGAAACGATAGAGCGAATGTCACTCGCTTATCATAATCACTTGGTTTCAGTTCGTGCAAGCGGCTGATTTTGTAGGGGTAAAATCGAATAACGCGCCGCAAAACTCTCCATACCGTGGAATAATTCATGTCCAATTGTCGAGCTACACCCCAGGCGCTGCTAGTACCAGCAAAGGTTCTCTGCGATCTTTCGACTATTGCAGTTGCCACATCAGTTATTACATCTTCTGATACTGGTTTCTGATCCTCTCCCAGCGCAAATGGTCAGTGACCCGTTTCCTCGAACTTCTTAATCATTTCCTTAAGACCATTCAGCGATAAAAGCCCTTTTCGTAATTTTTTCTGGTTCGAAATTTCCGAAGAGCTGCGGATGCATTACATTGATTCATGTAATACAGCTTCACCAGTAACGTGAGAGCTTCCGGTAACGTGAGAGGCATGTCCACTGGAGCTCGTTTACTTCAGCTGAGATTATTTGTCGGAGCTGTCTACTACTTGCTTTTATAGCTCCTATTACTGGCGCTGTCATCGCACGACATTTGCATTTTCCCTTGATACCCGTGTTTTATGGTAATTCTAATAAGCTACAGTAGCGCCACAAAATGCCCTAGTGGCGATTTTTGGAACTAAATTGTTTTTTCACGGAATCTTTTTTCCCATGTCTTGATTAGTCTAAATACCACGTTTTGGGCCCATTTCGGCTATTAGATCATGCTACAGGGTGCTCCAAATACTGTCACTTTAAAAAAGATCACCCCGTGTATTCAAAAGCATCCAACTTTTCGAAACACCTTGGTATTTCTGACAGCCAAGTTCCCTTTCAAATTTTTGCTTATTTTTGTCGCTAATTTTCTTCTTTCCTTCTACATTTATTTTCAGTGCTGACCACAAGAAAATTAAGATTTTTCGATTGTTACACTTCCATAAATTTCGCATTCTTGCCAATTTTTTAAAAATATCAATTACATCAACTGCGGTTCGGTTGAATGAGCTTTTCATTTTCTAGGCATTTTAACTATAAATAAAGTTTAAAGCAAAGTCCAAAGGATTAATATTTTAAGTAAAAGATTTTTTGCTAAATGACAAAGAAATAAAACAGTCCAGCAGTGTTTAATCTGTACCACTGAGTAATCCGATTATTATATCGGCTACAAACAATCTAAATCATATTAAAGATCATGTTTTTTACACAATCTATAACACGAGAGAAAAGTAGCTACTTAAATCATTCTTTCGAAGAGGATTGATGTAAACATTTATACTTATATATAAAATTTTTAAAGCTGGGATATGACCTCCCGAACTGTCAACATCCTGTTTGCTTAAACGAACTTCCTCAGCTTTAGACAACTCGATTTAAATACAGTCAAAGTAAAGTAGCCGACGATAACACGGCGAAGGTAAAACTTTATTCTCACAAATATTTAAGGAAAAAAAAAGGAGGAATAAAGAAAAAAAAAGTTAAAAATTTGAATAATATCATCTATAATTTAAAAAAAAATAACTTCTCATATACACTGGTTATCATAAATTACGGAAAGATCACAAAAATCAGGATTACTAAAAAAGTTACATGTAGAATTTTATGAAACTTACCCACGATATACAACACATAGTAAGGTATCAAATAACATAAAAAGAAATTACCAGACAATTATGGTAATATAGAAATTAGCACATGTATAAAATGAACAAATCGAAGATGTCAGTTTGCTATAGTAAAAGTACCTTCAATATGGAATATAATCGCCTCTAAAAGCAATACAGCACATTCAGCGATGTGTGATGCTTTCAATTATGTGGTCTATCAGTTTCATAGGAAGCGAGAGCCATCGTTCTTGCAAAGCAGTTGCAAGGGTCTAAGGGGGCTGACTGAGAGCAGCTAGACGTCTCCCTAAAGCATCCCAAACGTGTTCGATAGGATTCAAGTCCGGGGATCGAGCTGGCCACTCCATGCGCATAATTGTTTTCCTGTTGAAGATAATCATATACGATGCGAGTCCTGTGTGGTCTCGCATTGTCGTCCTGTAACAGGAAAGCATCACCTATTGCCCAGGCATATGGGCGCACATAAGCATCAATGATGTTATCTCTATAAACATGGGC